CTCACTGTCACAGGACTTGTTGTTCTTATATTTTATTGAAGTATTTCCATTTTAAGGCAGCTCATCGTTAGCGGTGAACAAAAAGGAAGAAATTAAATTGATCTCTTTTTCTTTTCTAGCCATGTGCTATGCTATGGAAATTATTTAAAATCAGCAATGATTGAAATTGACTGACTTCTCGTCCAAAAAACATTTGGCACAATCCCTGCACAGTCTCACGGCTAAGCTTGTGAAATATTCCATTGATTTATGTTTCTAGCATTTTTCTAGCAGCAAAAGTATATAAAAAATTAATTATTTGAACAGCTAAGGCTCTGTTTTATTATACTGTACTGTTGTGAACCCTGGTGATACAGCTCAGGAGCTTTTGTGTTTCTTTGACTTTACCTTGTCTTCTGCTCTTCCATGTGACGTCGCCTACCAGAGACCAAGTCTCCTCTGAGCCTGACCGACCAGCGTCTGTTGGAGAGCAGTCAGCAGTTTAAGAAGAAACAGGGCAAAGGAACCATTGATGTGTGGTGGCTCTTTGATGATGGAGGTTAGTGTTCTCATTGTTATATGAAAATAAAAACATATCTGCTGAACTGACTTTGGGTCCTATGATTCTGTCAAAAAGTCTAAACATAGCTAACTGTTGGTTGTGCTTTTCGATTCATACGTGTCACTGTCGTAAAAAGTAAGGTGAAAAATTAATAGACTTAAAAAACATTCAAATCTGTGGTTCCCTGATCTATACTGGAAAACAGATTTTTGTTCAGTTTGGGTTTTTTAATGACCTGTATAATCTCTGATGTGTTGGTTTGCAGGCCTGACTCTGCTGATCCCCTACTTGCTGACCAACAGGAGTAAGTGGGGCGACTGCAGGATCCGCGTGTTCATCGGCGGAAAGATTAACCGCATCGACCACGACCGCCGAGCGTGAGTCAACAGCTGCTTATCCACCTATGCCAAGCAATAAACTTTACTTTACTACAAACTTGACTTTATATCCACATACATTTATTATTGTGTTTTTGTTTTTATGTCACGTCAGGATGGCCACGCTGCTCAGCAGGTTCAGAATCGACTTCTCTGACATAAACGTCCTCGGTGACATCAACACCAAACCCAAGAAACACAAGTAAGTCCTCTGAAACTTCCTGAGCTCAGCAGCTTTGATCACTATGGATTTACACTAAACACTATTGTGTTTTTAATGTCTTTAGCGTCTGTGTTACGTGTGTAAATTGCTTACAAAGTGTTGGAAAGCCAAAGTCAAAAGGTGAATGATTTGTTCATGAATTCTTTTTTTTAATTTATCGATTACTTGATGACCGTGAAAGTCAACATGTAGAAAGTTTGTAATATTAAAAGTTTAAGTGCTTTGAAATATTTTTTTAAATGTTCTTTAGAATGAAGCATCATGTGGGGAGGATGAAACTGATAGCGCTAATCTAAAAACCTAATGTATGTGTTTTGTTTTGTTTTTACAGTAAGCTCACCTTTAAGGAGCTGATCGAGCCGTACAGGCTGAAGGAAGATGACATGGAGCAGGAGGCTGCTGAGAGGCTGAAGGCCCAGGAGCCCTGGAGGATCACTGACAACGAACTGGAGCTGTACAAGGCCAAGGTCTGTCCTCATGTTGCAGACACACTCAGACCAATCACAGTGCTCTGTTCAAGTGGTTTATGTAAATATACTGTGTGTTACTTTCAGACCAATCGTCAGATCAGGTTGAACGAGCTGCTGAAGGAACACTCCAGCACTGCCAAACTCATCGTCATGTAAGAACTTCGTAATAACTTTGTCATCATCGTGTCATCATTTGTTTTAATTTACAGACAAACTCGCATTTAAAAAGCCTGGTTAACCCGGCTGCTCATTTCCATGAATCAGGTGTTTCTGTGTGAGCTTGCATCTTCTCCCTGTGCCTGTGTGTGTTCCCTCTGGGTACTCCAGCTTCTTCCCACACTCCAAAGACGTGCGTGTCATGTTAACTGGTGATTCTAAATACACCGTGGGTGTGAATATGAGCATACAGCTGTCTATGTTGAAGTGGTGACTTGTCCAGTGTCCAGTGTGCACAACAGTGTCTTTGGATCCTGGAATACTCACAACCAAAACAATCATTAATTGACAAAATGATGCATGACAAGCCAATCACTGCTTGTATGGACACCACTTTCCGCAAAATGAAATAAAACCATAAGAGGCCAAATTAAATTCTTAGAACAATGAAAAAGAACACCAGTGAACTTACAAAAGCTTTGGACATTTAGCAAATGCACCAGGGGGATGTTAAAGAAGAACAATCTCCAGGAGAAAGGCATAAGTTCCAAGTTCAACCATAAAGAGAAGACGCCAATGAAAGAAAATACAGAGGATTCACCACAACCATTTATCAAACTCAAGAACAACAAGTTAAACTTCACCGAAAAAACCTTCACCAATTCTGAAGCAGCATTCTGTCTGTTCAAGTCAACCTGTAACAAAGCGACAACAGTGTGGAGAAGTCCTGGAACCATGTTTTATGCTTCGGAGCCGAAGCATAAAACAGCAGCAGCAGCAGAGCCGGTGTGACGCAAGGGCATGCATGGCTTCCATCCATGTGTGCAGCAGATTGTGAAACATCTTCCATCACAGTATTAAAAAAGGCATTTTATATATGATTGTGTTAACTTGTCCAACTAAACTGGAACCCAAAAAACAGTTAGCTATCCTGCGGATTTAAAGTTGAGAGTCTGAAATTTTGACTATATCTTAAACTTAGATACTGAAGAAATCTTAAGACACTGATGACACTCAGGGAACTTCAGAAGCATTAAAGTGGATGATCCATAATGCTCTGAGCTCCAGAATTTATAGTTCATATTTTATAAGCTGTTCACGGTTAATTCAGTGCAGTTAATTGAAAAACAAACAAATATAGTTAAAATAATGAGACATAAAGTGTGACTCATCACAGCTGTTACATATAAAGTAAATTAGACCTCTCACATTGAACTTAACACGTCAAAATAATTTGACCTTTAAGCTTACATGTTAATTTAATGACATTAACTGCTCATAACTCATAATTACAAGATCATGCAGTCTTCTTTCTAACGCTGCTCTGGGTTTGATTTTGATATATATAAATATCATAAAAATTAAATTTTTCTTTCTCTCTCTGTGTGTGGCTAGGAGCATGCCTTTGGCAAGAAAGGGCACAGTGTCGAGCGCCCTCTACATGTGCTGGCTGGAAACTCTGTCCAAAGACCTCCCACCACTGCTGCTGGTGCGAGGAAACCACCAGAGCGTCCTCACCTTTTACTCCTAACACACACACACACACACACACACACACACACACACAGAGTCATACACCTACTCTGCTCACGCACAAACATACAGTGTGTCCTGCTCTCCATATTTATTACAGTATGAGAAAGCCTTCGTCTGCACAAAAACAGAAACGTCGTCGTGCTTTAAGCTTGTGAAACTGTCCAGCTGTGAAGGGAAAAATTATTAGGACTAATATCTTTTTCCACTTGTCTTAAATCGATTGTTTTTAACATGTTAATTAAACTCAGTCAACAGATTTGACCATAACACTAACAGGTTGCTTGTTCTGTTTCCTCTGTGAGTTTTATGTGAATGAGAGTAACTACAGGTAAATTCATGTAAAAGTTTATTTATAAGGATAAAAGTTTGGATTTGAGAATGTAAGCTTATGTGATTATAAAATGATGTTTTTATGGTTTTTCCCCACTGGGTTCACAAAGAGAGATGCTCCATCTTTGTTAACTTTATTTTGTACTTTATTTTAATAAAGGATTAACTAAAACATATGCTTTATTGAAGTTTGGTTTTTGTCAGCTTTATTCCTGTTCCTGTATTAGTGAAGTACTTAAAGTCAAAATCAGACAATAATCTCATCCTCAGCAATGTAACTTTAATCTGATGACACAATTCTTTAGTGAAGGGCTGAAAAAAACAATTCACATAAACTTTTTTTATTTGTATGAACTCCGTAAGATAGTGGCATTAGAGTAGAACAATGACATATACACTCAATAGCCACTTTATTAAGTATACCTTGCTAGTTGGACCAGCTTTCGACTTCAGAACGATCTTCATTTTTCATGACATAGATTTAACAAGATGATGAAAACAATCCTCAGAGAATTTTGTCCATGTTGACATGATCGCTTCACATTTGTCAGCTGCACATCCATGATGAGAATATCCTGTCCCAGCCATCAGAAGAGAAGTATACTGTGGTCATAATGGGATGGACATGGTCAGTGACAATACCTGATGCTTTCATGCTGTTTACACCAAATTTTGACCCAACCATGTGAATGTTGCAGCAGAAATGAAGACTTATCAGACTAGGCAACATTGTTTTTAATCTTTCATTGCCCAGTTTTGTCAATACCATTTTAATTATAGCCTCAGTTTTCTGTTCTGGAAGCAGCACATTGTGTTGTGTATTCAGAGATGCTCTTCTGCATAACTTCTTTTGTAATGAGTGGTTATTTAAATTATTGTTTCCTTCCTATTTTCACTCAGAAAACTGATGGTTACTTTCTGATGATTATGTGGGAACCTTTCTGTTTCTAAAAAGTCAAATCAGTCTCTCTGACACCAGCAACCATGCAATGTTCAAACTCATTTTAATTACCTTTCAGTGAGATTCTGATGCTCAGTTTGAACTTCAAAGGGTCAACTTATCAATGGCATTATGCCTAATTGCAACAGATTTCTTCTATGTAATAATTAGAGGACTCAGTTAGCAGTAATACTTAATATAGTGGCAGGTGAGAGCATATAGGAGGAAGCAATTTTACTATGTAAAGAACTCTAACATAGCTTCATTCTTCTATGACAAGCCTTTATTCGGAAATACTACAGCGCCGGGGGGACCTGAAGGCAGCACCACCCCTAATCAGCGTGGTTGTTGCTCTTGAACACACCTCGTAACATTTTCTCCAACAACAGGAGACGGAGGGGAAGTGAACGCCGAGCGAAAGGCAAGATATGACGCATTAATAATCTTTCACATGAAACTCAAAGTGAAATGTGATGCTTGGTCTCGTTTAAACGAAGCTTAACCGGCGAAAGTCGCTCCTGTTCGTTCGTGTTTTCGTTTCCTGAACTGTTAGTGAAACAGAGCCGATTCAGAGGCCTTTTAAAACCACATGACAAACAAACACTGTGTCCAAGCTTAATCTTCAACACTGTGGGATTTGTAAAAGCAAACCTGCAATTCAAGGTGGTTCCTGTAAGTTTATTTCGCAACCGTTGTCGAGGTCAAAGGGTTCAGTGATTGACAGCTCGATGCGCTAATGAGACAGGGAGGACTAATTAAAGGCACAGTGTAGAATTGATGCTGTAGGTTTGTTTTTGTTTTTTTTACTAAATTATAAGTTTATTAACTTCTGTATTTGCCATTTTTGTTGCCAGAAAATTACAAAATTTGATTAAAAAAAATTTGTCATGGAATTTCTTTTTTCAAAATAACTATTTTGAAATAGTTAAATATTTCAAAATTAAGTGCAGCTGTCAAGTGAATGCGAATAAAAAATATTTTGTCTAAATCATAAAGAGCACAGCGATATCAACTGAAGTGAACAAGGGTCAAGCTGTTCTTTACAGTAATACCAGTGAGTGCCACAAGATGGCACAGTTAGTTAGTAACTTTAATTAAATTGGAAACATTGTAATTAGAATAATTGGAACCAAATATTCTTGGGTCTAACTGTTAGTAAACAAGAGCAAAATGTATTTGTTTTCCATATTTTAGTCTTTCTCTGGATGTTATATCAAACCACTCAATAGGAAGAATAGATAGCATTCTAGTGAGATATCAGTTTTTATTTGGGTCAATTTTGCTGTAGTACTTTTAGTTTTTTCAGCATTTTAAACTCTGAGCTATATTTTGAGGTTGTTAAACCCAAATTCCCATTTCTTGACATTAATCATCAATCAATTATCCTTTTTATCTATGATTTAGCTTTAGCTCTTATGTGTCAAATGAATACTTTTAAAATACTTTTATCATTTATTTGTAACTAGCTGCTTCATCTGTTCATAATATCTCCTCTGACATTTTGCCAGATCATATATTACCCCAGGTTTCATTGTCTTTGTCTCGGGATCCAGGATGACGAGCTATCAACTGAGCGCGAAGGAGGACATGGTGGAGAAGTTTCTGGATGCTGCAGCAAGAGGAGATATGTCCCAGGTGTCCACCTTGCTGTCCCATGTGCCCTCGCTCATAAACCAGACAGGATACAGTGGCTGGACCGCACTAATGCTTGCAGCTCGCAATGGACATTCTCATGTGGTGGAGAAGCTGCTGTCACATGGGTACATCACTGCATTTCTCTTAATTGTAATGTTATTAATGTACCATTTGCTTTGAACAATACTAAAGAGATATATTGTGGAATATTTTTTCAAAGCTGCATTAATAATTTTTAGCATTTAGGGGATGCATCTATTCCACATATGTTATGTTTAGGTAAATATTTGCAGACTTGATGGGCAGAAACATAGGAACTGGAAAGCATTATGAAAAGAGGCTAAAGTGAGGTTTTCAAATATTTAAAGAAACTGAACCTGAAAGAGCAAAGTAAACAGAAATCTGTATTTGTTTGTTTTTCAACAGAAGTTCCTTATTTGTGTGCACAAACTTGGCCAAAAAAATTTATTCTCATTCTGAAACAAAAGATGTAGCTAGAACAAAACTTGGCTACACACAGGTACGTTAAATTAAAACGTATTAAAAATTAAATAGGAGTAGCCTGAAAGTCAGAGAGAGATAAAACTGTAGCTACATTTTTTTAGCATATAGGAGCTATATGCTAAAATGATATTTTGAAGTATAAAACAAGGCAAAATAGGGATAAAACTAGTGGTGAAAATACAGTAAAATTAGGAGTTGCAAGAAAACCAAACAAGACAAAAAATAATAAACCTGCATTAACAGCGTGATGAGGCAAAAACCTTTACTGAAATAAATCAATATAAAAGCTGAAGAGACAAAAACTAGTAGCAAAAAAACCCCATTTAGTATAGAAAAACATCCTCAAAGAGGCTGTAATAAGCAGGTACGGAAAAAATATTGGTGCAATTTAAATGAAAACATCTAGAAACTTAAAAGTCTAAGTTGTAAAAGCCCCAGACTTTGATGTGTTGTAGCCTTGAATGTATAAATGGATTCCTGACTTCTCTAAAACCTCTTTTTTCTTCTGTCTTTTAGCTGTGATAAGTTCATAGTAAACAGTTCATCACAGACCGCCTACGATGTTGCCAAGTTCTGGGGTCACAAACACATCACTAACCTACTCTGCCAGACAGACGATGGCTGCCGGCGAGTCCTGCCGGGCTCCGACATCAGTCCGCAGGAAAACTACTTCAGCAGGGAGACGCTGGACCGCCTGAGTGGGAAGAGGACTGACAAGGCCTGGTTGGAGGCCAAACAAAGAGAACCAGATACTGTCTACCTCATATTCTCGAACCTCAGCCCCATGCTCAGCACATCCCAGGAAGACGACGGCGCAGCGGTATGTTTATGACCTACAGCCTACGGCTAGTTTACATGACAAAGATGAAAGTCATGTGAATTGTGAATCTGATTGCAACAGGTTGAGAGCAAACTGTGCCGGTTCAGATATGAGGCAGTTAAGGATCTTCTGCAGAAACCTGCAACTGTGCTCATTTTCCTCGGAGTGGAGAAGAGGAAAAATCCCTCCCCTTCCTCTCCTGAGGAGGGTATCCGGGAGGCTCCTGCTTGGTTTGCTTTCAGCACTGATGAAGATGCTGCTGACCTTGTTAAACGGTGCAGGGAGAAGAACTGCTCCTTTTCAAAGATGCCAAACAGAGACCTGCTGAAACTAAATGAGGAAGAGGCCGGTGAGACACACAAAACGTGTGTTGTTGTTTGATCACCTGCCTCTCTTGTGTCACAGTATAATACTTCTTCCTGCTCTCCTTGTCTGCAAGGAATCGTGGCTCAGGCTCGATCGGTGTTGGCCTGGAACAGTCGCTACAGCTTCTGTCCAACATGTGGCAGCAGCACCAAACTGGAGGATGGAGGACACAAGAGAAGCTGTCTGAACTCTGAATGCAGGAGTCTAAAGGGGGTCCACAATACCTGCTATCCACGAGTTGGTATGAATCTGCTCATCTATCAGCTCATCTGCACTGTAGTTAATACTGTGTAGCATCATGCTGTGCACAAAAAACATTACCAAAAAACGTAAAAGCTAAAAAGAACAGAAAACTGTAGTTTCTCCAGTGGCTTCTTGAGGCTGGCTCTAAGTCAAGTCCTGCAGACCCCCATATTAAAAAAGCCCAACGTGGGTGCCTGTTATGCTGGTTGAAGGCACGGCCGTATGCAGCAGCCTGGGCATGATCCTGACCTGTAGCCCTTTCCTGCTCTCTTCCCCCTTTTTGTGGCCTACTCTTTATTGTTGCAATGTCAGATAAATTCAAAAATGTCCCTGAAAGAGTCTTTTAAAAAAGCCCAACAGAAACGGACATGTTTCCAGCCTGGAGTTAAATATAGTTTTTATCTCTATAGCCATTTCCTTTCTTATAACAAATGAACAGAAATGTAATACTTTTGTAATTCACCTGCTTCAGTTTTATTAAAGTTTGACGTCATATCATATACTATAATAGCTTTTGCCCACTCCTAGTAACAAAGTTTGCATATGTTTGTGATTTCAGACCCAGTGGTCATCATGCTGGTGATCCACCCAGATGGAAACCAATGTTTACTGGGAAGGAAGAAGGTCTTCCCAGCTGGGATGTTTTCCTGTTTAGCGGGATTTGTAGAGCCTGGTATACCACACACTCACACACACAGAAAAACTGCTCAGCTGTTAAACAACTGATGTGAGCCTGAAGCTCATCCTCACAGGAATATTAACCATAAATCAAGTCTCAGCTATAAAAAATTAGGGTGACAGCTTCTCCCTGTCCTACCCCGCAGGGGAAACGATTGAGGATGCAGTAAGGCGGGAGGTGGAGGAGGAGAGCGGCGTGAAGGTCGGACCGGTTCAGTATGTCTCCTGCCAGCCCTGGCCGATGCCATCCAACCTCATGTTTGGCTGCCTTGCTGTCGCCATATCAACAGACATCAAAGTGGATGAGAATGAGATAGAAGAAGCTCAGTGGTTCACACGGCAACAGGTAAGTAACAGTGCGACTATTAGTGGAACTGCTAACAGGGATCATGATGTTAAGAGTTAATAAGTCTATTGAAGATAATTTTTTATAACAACAACTTGGAAACTGTTAGCATCAGCTGTATCAACTAGAAATTCTCCAGAGCTTTCATGCATATCCCATGGCCAATTCTTCTAATGCTTAATAATGAACAATTCTAGACATGAGACAGTAATCCAACTTTTCTGCTTGCTCAGGTAATCGACTCCTTGTTCAGAGGAGCATCTCCAGCTTTTAACATCCCCCCCAGGCAGACCATCGCCCACCAGATGATCAGACATTGGATCGGCATAAACGCTAACCTCTGACAGAACACCTTCATCACTCGACCACCTGCCCAGCTGAGGAGGTCAGATGGATAGGAACGAGTTTGTCCCCAGTAGATTAACTCACCACATTCCTCAGATTGTTCATGTTGTGCTTTAATAATAGTTTACTGCGAAGTGACTTGACGCATGTACAACAATCTCAAGTTTGACATTTCACCTCGGAAATATCTGCAGTACAATGATGAAATATGGAAGAAGAAGCATGCTCTGTCCAGATTCAGTCCAGAAGTAGTTGTCAGAAACTGTAATTATTTAAAATAAATGTATTTTAAAAAATGTAAAGTAGTATTCTCCTCGCGTGTTTTATAATAAACTATATTCAACTTTCCTTGGATTAAACAAAACATTTTTGACAAGAAATTAATTCTCAAACATTCATTTCATCTGCCAAACCATTCAGAGTCCTCAGGGTGGGGGGCCTTTTGTTTATGTTTAATTTGTTTTCATTTACTTTAATAAGTTCATTAAATCTAAATATTTCAGTAAAATTGCACAAGAGATTCTGATGATTGCTGGATTATTTCTAGGAGCCAAAATAAACTTCAAGTATTAAATAAATTAAAACCTATCCTTTGCATCCTTCTGTCACACCAACCCTATATGACCACATCAGTGACTCTTCTCTGTGGTCTTCCTCTTTTCCTCCTGCCTAGAAGCTCCATACTGAGCATCCTTTGTGCATCGTATCCACTATCACTCTTCTACACTTGTCCAAACCATCTCAGCCTTGCCGCGATTACTTTCTTCAAAATGGTCAAATTATGCTGACGCGACAGCTCATTTCGAATCCTGACCTTTCTGCTCACTTCCTATGAGAATCTTAGCATTCCGGGTTGCAAGAAGTCTGAAGCCCATCCCTAAATATATAAAGGTTACCCCAATGACTCAGTTATATATTCCCAGAGTTAATTCACAAACAAGGTTCCTTCTAAAACAGACAGCGATTTTATCTGATTGTCTTCAATGCTCCGGTGATTATGATCCATCTGTCTCCTGTACATTCATAGAGAGCATGGTTTGCTTTATGAGAAATAAATCGCAATTTGGAGTCCACCGGGGCGTCGCTTTTCAATAATTCATTTAATAACTTTAACTCATGAAGAGAATTTCTAGATGTGTTCAAGGAGTGGAAGGTGTTTTGCAGATTATATGGTCTTGCAGGGAGTAGAAGTGGTTCAATATCTGACTAAGATGCCGCCTGGTGGCACTGAGGATGCCTCAGTATCTTTCTAGAAGACTTGGTTGTAGCTGAACAGGGGCTAAAAAAAAACTGGGCACTATTTTCAGTCTCACATGGGTCCCTATTATGATATTTTGTAATAAATAAGACTCCACAGAAGCATTACTTTGCCTGTGACTTTGTCTGTATCTTGGCTGTCCGTGCATATAAGGTCTTTCTAATGACTTGTCTGGCTAAATTAAAGTTCCACTGACTTCCTGCAACATTTTGTGGTGTGAAATGGTGAAAAGTCCAAGTTATAACTCTTTTGCACAATATAGGATATTTTTGAACATAGCGTATAAGTGTCTGTTAATGATTTGAATTACTTGTACTGTACACTGCTGGGTTGCTTTATCTATATTAGTGCAGCATAATGCAATAGTAGATTAACATTTTCAAATTTGCAAAATAATTAGTAACCAGATCTTTACAATAATTGGTACAGAATAAAAGTATAATGTTCATAACCAAAACATAGTGAAGTAGAGAGAAGAACATGTACTTCAGTTAAGTATTTGGCTGAATGTTATCATATTTCAGAGTGTCTGGTGGCACCCACATCTTACAACGATCACATACGTTCACCTTATGAAATACATGTAATATACAGCGTATTAAATGCGGACACCAAGATGAGCATGTCAAACATGGAGTAACAATGATCTTAAGATAAAAAAGGAGGCCCTCCTTACTTATTATGCTGCTGTGGAACTTTCTATATTTTCTTTATACAAAAATACCAAAAAAAGCAAAAATGCAGAGCCGATGAGTCTGCCCCACAAGACAGGCCATTGTTTTCCTTGCTGTAATAAACCTTTGGGCCACATCTTATCTGAGCTCATTTGTTGCTGAAGTTGCTGAGTCTGTCTCAATGTGTTTTCACCCTGTGTCACTGTTAGAAATGTAACCTGCATCACAGATCAGATAAGAGCAGTCACTCTGCCTGCCCCAATTCAACACGTACTCTGTCTCACAGGTCATCGGATAAACAGGCTGACTTTCAGTCAACAAACCAGGAAAGTGACTTCTCACAGCAGCCTCGGTCTGATGTGATATCTCGGAGATGTCAGCCTGATTTCTGTCCTTGTCGCTCTGAGGAAGCCAGAGCTTGGTTTCGTGTAGCGGAGCGCCGGCAGCCTCTTGATTTTCTTCTGATATGAAAACCTTGATAGGAGGACGGGACTGGTTCTCTGTGGGTTGTGCACTATAAGAAACATACTCAGAGTCTAGAGTGAGGCAGCCAATCAACAGCAGAGAGGTATCCTCACGCTGGTCATCATCTGGTAAGAGCTGAGAGGTTCGCTCAACTATGATGAGACTTTTGTCTCTGAGGACATCAGTCACCTGGAAGTCTTCAATATTAAGGATGCTCCTCTCTGCAAATTTCTGTTGAAAAGAATGAATGAGTGGTCATTTTGTGGCTGGCTGCTGTAGCTTTACATATATTTGTGTTTATTGTTTCTCTTTTTTTTTAGTTGTGCAAACCCTAACGGGTCATTTTGTCAGTCTTAGAAGTTTTCTTGTTCCCGTTTCTGTATGGTGTCTTTGCCATTCCCCCCTTGTTGTCTGTTTATTAGCATCCACAGTTTTCAAGATATCATGTTCAAATTTTGTGTGATGGTAGATATCATTAACAGGTGTTTTTGTTATAATTAGTTGGACTAATATTGTAAATCTGAGTCTGACGATGGGCACGAAGTCTCGCATGCACAGATATATGAGCTGTAAGTAATTAACCCAACTATGAAAGCTGTAAAAAAAACAGGTTACCTCGTGGTTTGGATCCATCAGCCACTGGCCTGTTTTGCTTAGTCGAGGGCTAGAGATTAGCGGGAAGAAGTACGACTTGTACCTAAAAAGTAATGTTGATTAAAGTCATTATCAGTGACAAGGACTAACCGCGTACTATCAGAGCATTCACTTCTGATTTTTGGAAACTGTTCCTGTAAGTCCAAGAAACCAGGAGAATCTTCAGGAAATTGTTCGCATTTTTGCAGCATGTTTAATCTTTCAGAGCCAGATTGACCAGAAAAAGCAGGTTCATGGGCCAATGACTTGAGGTCAGATAAAAAAAAATAACCGCTGTTAAATTCCATAAATGCTCGTGAAATACTGGTAAATATTCACATTTAGGAAGCTGTTCTCAGACAAGTTTTGGTAATGCTACCGCAAAATATGACTTTAGTTAGTAGCAAATAACATTTAACGTACATTTTTTCCCTTCATGCCATGCCTTGCATACAGTCTTTGGGCCAAAGATCACATGACATACATGAAAAACAAACGCATTAGTATTACTAAAAGAACAGATTGCCCAGCACTCACAGATTCCTGGACAGGATGGAGAGGATTAACACAGTGACAGCAACCAGCAGCAGAGGAATCGCTGTAGCCACCACCGTTACATCATCTGGAAAGAAGAATATCAGATTCTCTTTGTTTCAAAAAAACAGAATAATTAAATCACTTTCCTGCAGTCACAGCAGTGTTTCTATCACCTGTACTTATGTCCATCATCTGGGTCAGTTGTGTACCTCACTGTCGAGCATTTTCTGTAATAGCCACCTGCACTTTATCCATCCATCTGTGCTTTTCAAATTAAAAGCCTATATAACAAATTCAACATTTTATTGCTCTCTATTCTGTTATTTCTCTTATTGTGCTATAAGAGTTATTCAATTTTTGATGCTGAAAGAAAAGCCATCAAGCTGACTTTGATGTAGGCAGTGCACTCATTTATAATAGAAAATATCTTAATTGCAAAGTGCGTTTCACATAATTGTGTCTTGTAACATGTGAAAAGTTCTTATATGCATTTGTATGATATAGACTTTCATCTTTGGGGGGAAATCCTCCAGAAATACAGCAGAAACATGTTTTGATTTTTTTAAGATAGTTTAAGTGTATTTTTGTTTGTCTCTTGGGTTGACATGGGTTGAAAATGTGAAGTAGCAAGTCGCGCTGTCCACTACAAACGATGCTGTTTTGTTTTGAAAGGGGTAAAGTTACTGAACATTTCTGAAATCCTGCAAAATCAAAGTCAAGACTGTCAAATTGGACCATTTCAGTTCTGGCAATAAAGTGATAATATCTGAAAATAAGTTGTCGCTTAACCTCCCTTGTGGCTTTGAAATGTGGAAGCTGCAATTTTTGTCCATTTTAAATGAAAGTCCATGTGCTCTGTTAGCCCAGCCCCAACAAATGAGACATCAACAGAAAGAGATACATAAGCAGTGCTTGATATAGAGATCTCAGACTCAGACAGAGAATCAAAATTAATTGCTGGCTCTTAGGAGGATATACGTACAACTGGTTTCACAGGTGAACAAATGCTGCAGTCCACACACCAGGGGGCGCTGCAGATATGGCTTCAATGATTGATTCTAAGTATATTGAGAAGAAATCTACTACAAAGAAATGTAGCCAACGCTGCAATGCAAAAAAACCACAGAAAGGAATCTGGTTTTGGGTCCAGTGAAACTCACCGAAATCTGTCGTCATTTGAACGATGCTTTTAGAAACATTATCAGCCAACAGCGTAACAGAATACTGAGCATTGGGCATCAGGTCATAGAAAGTGTGCTGCTGGTCATCTGGCCACAAAGGTAAAGCTGCAAATGAGAGAATGTATGTTGCATTTGCAAAAAGGTGATTAAAATATGCATAACAGTTTTCTGTAAGCGAGAAAATATACATGGACAAATCTAATGAAAAAAAGACAAACTTTTTTTTTTTTTACCGTGGAGTGAGATTTTATGTTAAAAGGCTCATTAACCCACATACATTGTTTGTCTGAGTCTTTCCTCAGAACTGCTTCATATCTGCTCACTCTGACTGGCTCAGACTTCCTCTGCCACTCCCACATAATGGTCACTGATGTCTTAGTCACACTGACACTCAGATTGACCACCTCCATCAAAGCTGAGAAGACGAACACACACAGATAGAAAGTCAGATATAGATTCCTCATTTTCCCCCCCTGCATTTAGTTCAATGCAAATAACTTCTGTTCTGCTGTAAATTACTTTGCATATTATTCGCCCATTTTACTGCATTAGCATCACTATTAATTGACTCTTAGATAAGACTTTTCTCATTTTCTACTCACAGAAATAATACTAACTGAGAATACTAATACTGAGAGCTGATGATTCACATTACCGAGTCATCCGGTGCAGATGCAGATGTTATCACCCCCACACATTTCTATCTGAGCTCATGTTTACCTCCGTACTGCAGACTTGCCGGCAGAGACTGACGAGACCCATACTGCTGGTTGTAAACGGGAAACACACTGATCAGGTACTCCTTATTAGGGTCAACATCTGGAAACATGCACAGTAAACAGAACAGCTGTATAAAATACAATGTCTGTTATAGACTAAAATACCATATATAAGTCACTCTTTCAGTTTGATTTATTTCCCCTCACCCCCAACAGGTTGCAGCAGATGGGTGCCCCTCCCTGAGCCTAGTTCTGCTAGAGGTTTCTTCCTGTTAAAAGGGTTTTTTTTCTTCCCACTTTCTCCACGTGCTTGCTCTTAGATTGCTTTTTCTCTGTATTATTATGGGGTCTTTACCTTACAATATAGAGGGCCACAATGGTTGTTGTGATTTGGTGCTATATAAAACAAATCTGAAATGAATGAATTTAGACTTGATTTGTCAGGAAAAATGTACAAAGGAAAAAAAAGCTAACATAAAACTTCTCCTAAGAGCAAAGATGCACCTACTAGCTAATTTCCATCTGCACTATTTAAATCCACATGGACAGTCTCCAGCAGTAATACATCCCCGCACAGCGCCCCCCAGCATTCAGCAGTATACATAAACTGCTCTGCTTCCTCAAAACTCAGCAACAGCCCAAAGTGTGAAAGTGTGAGAGTGTGTGTAGAAAAAATTAGTCGCTAACAAATGCCCAAACATATTTTTAAAGACTTATTGACGAGCTGTTTGAGGAAACTGCTGTAAAATTCATCACATTTTTGTTGTAGATCTTATTAAAACACAACATAATTATGACATTTACCTGTTTCTTTATCTGGAAATCTCCATTTAAAAAAAATCCCCACTAATCAAATGCAAATCAAATACACACAAGATGATAGCTTTTCCCCCCATGTTGGGCTCTGTTATCTAACACCATCTAGATTGTGGTGATGAGGTCCTATCAGCACAACTGCACTTGCTATTTTGCATCAGCTTTACAGTAAAAGCCTGCTAGTGGAGAAATTTACTCAGCAGCACGTAGCAGCCTTAAGGATTCAAAGATAAAGCCAAAGAACAAGTGGCAGAAAGCGGTTTGCCCGAACAGTGAGTCAAACCCCATAGATGTGAAAATGCACTCCTTTACACCAGAAACACTTAATATGGCTTTCTTTTAAAAGAAACCTGTTTAAAAATAACCAATTAAAGATATGCATTATTAGATCTGATCATGTTTTGCACCACTGCTGGCTGCTGTAGCTGCTGCCTCTCAGCTTTGCTTCACTTCCATGAATTTGTGTCACTGAACTGGACTTCTCTGTGCTGTCTGTGCCTTCTGGAGCATTTTAATGATATTATCTGACAAATAATGCAGTTTACTAACAATGCTATGGCAAAAACACTCATATTAAGGCTATTAAGGCATCTGTGATGTCACAGCGGGTTTGTCTATATAAAGTCTCTGGTTAAAATGCTCAGTTCTAGAGTGGCTGACTGCTTGGCCCCCACCTCTGCTAATTGGAATCCAATTTAGTGAACTGACGTTTGTCCTGTTGGTGGCTTTTTGAGCATTTTTAATGGAGTTATCTAACAATAATGTGGCTTGTTGTATGGTACAGCTTCACGAAAAAGAAGATGATGCCTGAGCAGTATGCTTTTATTCTGAAGTGACTGCAGGACACAGAATTCAAGGTGAAGCCAATATATCATATTCATTAAAAAATAAAATGACTTTTGTTTTGGGGTTTTTTTCCCCTTTTCACCTCGTATGACGGTGGAGGTGATGAAGCCGTCAACTCGAGACCAGTGGCTGGTGGATGGACTCATCTCAGGGTGCCACTGAATCAGGAAATAACTGACAGGCAGGGTGTGACCTTGGTTGATGGGGATCTTCCACTGGACCAGAAGCTCATTTTTTCCTGGGTAAGAGGTGGAAATCCACATGTTTCTGACAGAGGGAAGAGCTGCGAAAACAGGGCCCATATTATTACATAGATTAAGATGAAGAAGACAACGATCATCATCAACAGTAAAATAAGATACCATTTTTAAGTCTCCTATTTTTGAGATTCACAAACCGCACTTGTTCCAATGCACTGTGCCTTTTTGAAATTTCTCTTCTTGTTAAACATATGAGGCAAGTTTTTAAGAAAAAACAGACGAGATCGTGGAAAGATTTTGCAATAGGTTTTGTAAAAACAGCATGTCACTGGTCTGCTGCTTCCTTCGATGAAAAAAATAACATGCAGGATGTTGCAAAAGTGAGCAGCACGCGTATCGTATCTAATATCTAGAGCTGGAAGCCAATAGTCACGATTGTGTAAGATACTGCAAATGTCTTTTTTATTTGTCCTTGAAATGTTGTTGGAGACATATACATACAGAACAAGGATGCTTTTGGCCTCTGCTATTTTTGGCAGTTAATATAGTTGGGTTTTTATTACATATCTAAATTTTGACCAGGTGACTGACGAGCTAGCCTGAGTGTATATATGTTTGTAGCGACCAGATATTATCAGTGGGTTGCTGACTGCCTCTACACCCGTAAGACTGAGGCCTAAAATGCATTAATTAATTCTTCTCCCCTCGGATGCTTTTAGAGCTGCTGTCAAATATTCCCTTTATGGAGGAAAGAGTTCAGTAGCTTTAGGAAGAAATGCATTATTTAAAGCAACTCATGTTAAAATTGTGATGTCTGTGGGGATCAATATTCTACAAATACCCCAGCATATCACTCAGAACATTAATATAACAATAACAATAATTACATGTCATAACCAGCATCTTCTGTCTTTGTGTGCTGAAGCTGAGATGGGCAGCAGGGCCGTAGCCAGCTGTGTTGAAGGCTCTGACTGTGATGCTGCAGTTCCCCTCCTTCACCACTAGGCGTGTCACATCAGTGGTGTTTTGAATCAGTCCACCTTCTTTATAGCTCATCTGGTATCCAAGGATTCGACCTTCAGTTTCAAGAGACTCAGGAGTCTAAGATGGAAAAAAGAAACAATAATAAAAGATTCATTTTAGTAAATCAGAACAGTATTTTTCTGCATTTATATGAGAACTCATCACTATACCTTCAATATAATGAGATGAACTTCCAGAGATCCACCTTTTTTCTCTAGTCTGTAAAACACTTCTGGTGGCCTGGAAGGAACTAAAAGAAAAAAAAATTGAGCTTTTTTTAAAAAATTTATTAATTTATTTTATATATGTCAGTGTTGTAGCTCCTGGTATGCTGTCCCTGATGTGCATGACTGTTACCTCTGTCCAGTGTTCTTCCTCTCATTTCAGAGCTCCAGTTACTCCAGAAGATCTGTTCCCTGCAGGCCACAGCAGCTCTGTAGACTGTAAACGGCAGGAGGTCTTTGATGGTGTAATTCAACGTCAGGTTTGCAGATAAATCTGGAACCTGGACACAAAAGCAGACAACCAAACCTATGGGACAAAGCTGACTGTAAGTGGACGTACTATGCTCTTCTATACTTCTATCCTGTCTACTCTGTCACAGTGCTGGATGGCCGAAGGTTCAAATAATGAGGTTAGTGCATGTACAAGAATCACTGTAAGTCAAAAGATCAGGTTTCAGCCATTTTTATTTTGGGATCAAAATGTTGCCTCTATTAAAACTTTATTAAACAATTAAAATACATTTGTGATTTAAGGAGCTTGGAAAGAAAAGCGACTGGACTTCTTTAAGTTTCTTTAAGATGCTTCAGGTCTCATCCGAGAAGCTTCTCCTTAGATTACTATGACATGGATGACCTACATGTTCATATTGTGATTCCCTTTTTGGTTGTTTTTACATTTTCCAAAGCTTATTAAGCTACAAACCCTGTTCCAAAAGAAACTAAACAAAAACAAAAGAAGTTCACATCTAACAACACAGATATTTCACAAATCATTACCAACAGCAAAAGACTTGAATTTTAAGCTCAGAGCAAAAATCTTCCACAAACTCTTGTTTCATTTCCCCAAAAATAAACTTAAAGTCTGCTTATTTTCATTGGATACTTTTGTCCACGTTCTCCACCTGCAGCAGTTCCACCTCTCACAGTGTCAGAAACACTGGCTTAAGGTAACGAGCTACAAAAAGTGAAGATGTTGAAGACTGATGCTTATGTCTACACATTTAATCAGTATATATATATATATATATATATAGGGATCAGCAAAAGCTGCAGCACATAAACAATAGTCCTTGAATTACTCAGTTATTACTGTTTGTGACAACACTTTCAGTATCCTTACTTTTTGGCTGAACTAAGCTACCTTAAACACACCTTTTTCAAACTTTTCACTTAGCAAATGTCAGTAAACAGTTTCTTTTGTTGTTCGTTTTGTTTGCGTCTTACTTCAGCATGAAGCAGGAATATGAAATAAAAAATTTACATATTATTTAAATGTTTTCGGGTCTTTTTGCCTCATACTTTATGGTGGAAACTAAAATAATGTGCAGTTCTTTTTGGACTTCTTTTCTTGGAGTGCAGATACCTAAAGAAAAAGCCTACAGAGTGTTGGCATGATGCTAACCTTGGTCCATATGTCCTCGCTGTCGAGTCTGTAACGAAGCTGACATCTGCCATCACCGCTGCTTGTCCAAGACACGACAAGTGAGTCCTCAGTAGAGCTGAGCACAGTTAATACAGGTGTAGGGGGCTTGACTGAGAGGAGGAGACAAGGAGCAAATTACTTCATCATCATTTTATATGAGCGGACAGCAGAGGAAGGAGCCAGGTGGATTACAGGTGACAGTCACAAAACGTGTGGGTGTCTAACCTGCTTCAAAAAGAAAGATACTGTGAGGCTCAGACCAGATCTCTGTCATGTGGTTTTTAATCCTTGCTGTCACATTGACAATGGATGCTGAGTTGAAGATGCCCTGACAGGATATAATTTCGTGGTCCCTAAATAGAAAAGATAAAACATCTGAGAAGATTCCACAACATCACTTTGTAATTATCATCGTAACGAAATCATCAAGTTTTATACCTGCTGAAAATCAGGGAGGCGGTAGTCTCAGTGTCGCTGTTTGAGTCTAGACTCCACTCACATGTCATGGATATTCGTCTGTCTGCAGACTTTTGGTAGTAACACGACATGTTCAGAGTACCTGCAGGAAAAGACGTTTAAATAACACGTCACTCCAAAAAGCTGAAGACTTTTTGGGTCATGTGAACGACATGTCTACACATCAGAGCGGGTTAACTGAATACGTTCTTCTTCTACTGGGCCTACATTTAATGTTTTACAAAATTAACATGATTAAATGAAAACTTCAAACCAGTCACTGAGACCAAAAAAAAACTAACATCCAGAAACATATAACCAGATATATTTTTTAGCTTCTATTTACATAAAAAAAAAAACCTTCTCAGTCATGTTTAAACAGATCCGATTTCTCATAGATCCTTATCCTTCTGCTGAGGTCCTTTTAGAAACAGGCAGCTTTACTTCATGTTTTTATTTTTTAAATCAGATGATAAAAAACAATAAGCAAACATGTGTGCTCACTCTGTGTGGATGAGGGTGGGCGAGGGTCACAGTCTGCAGGGGTGGTGACACACACCCGTGTGTTTTCTTTGCAGATCTCCAGCTGAAAGTCTCTAACTGTCACTCCTGACGTGAAGAAACAGGGAAACAGAGAAAGTCAATGAAAAAAGAATAAAGATCATTAAAGATTTTAATGATTTTGGTGCCCTGGATGTTTTTGTAAAGTGTGAAATGGAAAGTGAGATAATGTTTATTCACTAAAGATAAAGACTATATTGCCAAAAGTATTCACTAACCTAACCCAGTCACTGAATTCAGGTGTTCCAATCATTTGCATGGCCACAGGTGTACTACATCAAACACAGACTGCTTCTACAAACATTTGTGAAAGAACTGGTTGCTTTCAGGAGCTCTGTGAATTCCAGCATGGCCCCGTGATAGGATGCAACCTGTGCAACACATCCATTTCCTCACTACTAAATATTCCACAGTCGACTCTAAGTGGTTATAACAAAGTGGAAATGATTTGACTAAAATTACAGAACTTGTCTGTGTTGTGCAGTGTAAAGAGCATGAACAATTTCATGCTTAAACTTTGTGGGAACAGTTTCAACATGACAGCACATAAGTGCACAAAGCAAGGTCAATAACAACATGGATGAGCGAGTTTGGTGTGGAAAGGACTCGCTTTCACAGTCCTGACCTCAACCTGCTAGACGCCTTTGGGATGAATGAGAGCAGAGACTGCGAGGCAGCCCTTCTTGCCCAATATCAGTGTCTGACCTCACAAATATGCTTTTGGAAGAATGGTTAAAAAAAAATCTCATAAACATTCCTAAACTTTATGGAAAACCTTTCCAGAAGGCAATATCATATTAAATCCATGGATTAAGAATCCGATGTTAATCGTGTTTATATGTGTATGTGAACAAATGCTTTTTGCATTAGTTTATAACTTCTCTACACCGATAGAAAGGTGAAAAAATGCCCGGCGTAATTCTGACGCTCTGTTTTAAAATGATTCAATAAAATAAATTTGGAAAAAAAAAAAAAAAAAAAAGCTGTACTTCAATCATAAAGTGTGGTCCCTTAAAAAAACAACAACATGTAAACAAGAGCTACAGTTCAAACACACACACACACACACACAACTGAACGGATCAATAAAAGACCTTGATCAGAAAAAAAAAAAAAAAAAAAAAAAGTCCTGAAATGTTTCTTCAGGAATTTAGCGAATTCAGTTTGGATCCCTCACAAGCCAAACACTTCCAGTCCAGAAAACACTTTAGTAACATTAAAATGCAAAATCTGACTTTTAACATGAAACATTGTGGATAACTTACCATAAGAAAACACACCAATCAGGAGACTCATCACTGTCCAGGTACAGAAGTGCACTTTAAGAACCCAAACATCCATCTTAACGGTAAAAATGATTTTCATCTAAACATCCAAGGACATCCGCACTTAATCTGTATGGTCTTTAAAAAAAAGGTTCAAACCCCACAGAGAACGTCTCTGGTGTGTGCGGGAGGAAGACGCCTCTGCTCAGCTCTGAGCTCGCTCAGGAAATTGCTCCACTCATGTAATCAAGCGACAAACTTGTGAAAGTATGTTTATGCTTCACTTGTATGTAGAGGATTGTATGTCTATAAAGTTTAGTAGGATTACGGTAACTTTCAGCGCACTCTGGTGGATAAACTGTGTACAGCTATTTGACTCATGTAGTGAGCTACCAATCACAAAAACAAAAGCGTTAGCTAAATATACATTTGTACATGTTGGTTAGCAGCCATAGGCTGTAAATTTTTTAAATGTTATTTGTTCATCAAAACAGCCACCTGTTGAGCCAGTCTAATGAAAAACGAATTATTTAACTGTTAGAGGATAAACTGCCAGAGATACAGAAGAAAATATTGATAGTTTCAAGAATTTAAAGGAAACGGTACAAAAGAAACAAACTTGATGGACAGAATGGCTACGCTGCTACTGTTAGCTAACGATATTTAAGTTATTGCTAGCTAACATTACTTTTAAATAATGGTAGCATAATGAATACATACAACAAATAAATAGGCGCTGTGTGTTTACAAAGTAGTGGCCAGAATTGCTATAAAGAAGGAGAGGAAATGGGTTAAAAAAAAACAAAACAAAAAGGTCCAAGTGAATTTCAAACAAGTTTTAAAAAAAAAATGTTATCATAAAAAGTGGTGTTGATGATGGGATTCCGAGCTGTGGGGGAACGTTAGCTGAAATCTGATTGGGAATTATCAGCATCAGGACCCATTACTTGAGACCCAGTAACACACACGAACACAAAATGAAGCAATACCACACAGGAAATTAACAAGCCACAACTGTTCCTCATTTGTTTAATCTTTCCTCTTTTTTTTCCAAAGCAAAAACTTCAGCTTGTCTCTGGTTATTTTTTCTTTTTCTTATACAAATTGAAAACAAATCAAACAAAACGTCTTGTAGAAACATTTAAAAATGACTGACAGCGAAAACCCCCCGAAAAAACAACAACAAAAAGAAATGAAACAAATAAGGAAGGAAGTTCTGTACAGATAAAAAAAAAAAAAAAAGAAGAAAAAATAAAAAGGGGGGTGTTAAGTAAAAAGGATTCCTCTGTGCTGCTTACCACACCCAGAAGTGAAATATAACACTAAACAAGCTTCCTGTGCGATCACACAGAGCAGGCAGAGGAGTGCATTAATGTTGCTGCAGACTAACAAAAGGCTAAACACACGTACTATTAAGGTAAATGAACTTCATTAATGTGTCACTGGATTTCTTGACCTTTGGGTCAAATGTCAAGTTAATGGATATCAGAAAACAATTTTCCCTCCTTAATCCTGAATTGAAAGCAGTGATTCTTGCACAGCAGCAGAGAAATGTGAAGAGAAATCGAGAGAAATCGGAGCCTTTATCGGCTCTGGTTGTGTTTCTGAGTTCAGCTTATTTACAAACCAAGTGGAAAAAAACACATATACAGAACATTTCACCGAGTCTGGTCTCCTGAAATGTCCATTTCAAATATAAGACATAATTATCTGAGAAATCCAGAACCATTTTTGGTGGAGTTCAGAAAAATAAAACCCTGCAGCTACTCTGGACATGCGAGTTAAGAGATTTTTTAACTGTGATTAGCCTCTATCCATTTCCATCATTCTGAGCCCGCACACTGGTCACTTTTAGACTGAAGTGGGCCAGCAATGTTGCTCGCCTGGACAGAGGAAAAATTTATCACTGCAAAGTTTGGACAGATTACACATGACAGAAAACAAAACAAACTAAACAAACAAAAAAAGCAGAACTTGTATGATAGCGTGTGGCTTCATTATTACAGTTTTCTACATGAAAACATTCTTCTGTGGTCACAATTTGAAGATTCGAGAGAAGCTTTTTCGCTGTTGCCATCTTGGCGTTTTGAAACTGGGTGTGACGAGCAAAAACCAAACAACTGTGAAATCATAAGCTAAATTTACAAAATAATCTTGATGTTGACGAAGACCTGAAATGATTGACTGAGACCTTTAACTCACCAGCAAAGTTTTTACAGAGGTCAAGTATAAGGGCAGCTTTCCCAAAGGACTAGAACTCTTTATCGCCCTCTGGTGGCCAATATTAGACTGCAGCTTTAACGGCATACATCTTTTATACAGTCTGTGGGTTAGATTTGGAGATAATACCAAAAATACTTGTTACCACATGTGCGTCAAGACTTTTGCAACTATGACAAATTTCTTGCACATTCCATCACTTTGCATTGTTCCACCGCTGTCAGTAAGTCTGTCTGACGCCACAGTTAAAGTGTAAAAGTGCCCTACGAATGACAGAGTGCCATTACTGTAACAGACTGGTAAGTCAGCCATGTTACCCATGTCTGAAAGGCCTACTGTTGGGTTAATTTAATATTGTGCATTATGATTCATGCAGCCACCGTATAACACCGTGCAATGACTAAGGCCGGCCTGAAAACAGAACCATTTTCTCAACACTCTAAAACGTGTCTTGTGTTGAGAAAACAGTTAAAAAATAATGAAGAAATTTTGATTCCATAAGCTGATTCTTTCTCTCAACCTGTAACCTCAACACTCGGCACTAACAGTTTCCAAACAATGTCTAGCACCAAGAGCTTGTACCGATGTACAACTATTGCACATCTACCAGGGATTCCTGCAATGCCCTAAACCATCTGGTGTCTCGTTCATTTTTTAAGAACTTTATTTTGTCTGAATTTGTGTTTACGATGATTTTAGTGCAGCCAGAGATTCTGAGATGTGATACTGGTTTAGCCTAATGATCAGTCGTAGCGTCAGACGTTGTTTCCCAGTTGCACCAGATCCCATTCTCTGTAGGGCGATGACTTTTTTAAAATCACCTTCATCTAGATGCGCCAGCCCATCTCTGCAGAAGTGAAGGATTATCCTTTTACAAACAAAATCTATTTTAAATAGCTAAGAATGGAGCTACACTGTGGAGAGATTACAGAATGTAAAAGCTCATTAAGTCGAGGGAGGACCAAAGAATGGTGAATGCACCAATCGAAGGTGGAGACTCACAGATAGCCCTAGTTTAGTGCTTACATAAATTTCTGCTTAATGTTTGTGCACAAATTCTTTTTTCATTTTTCCAATTTTATTTCACAGACAACAATCCTGCATTTCAGTCATGGCCTTGCATTTTACCACCCTTTTCGCATTTTGGTATGAGAACTGCTGATTTTAAAGATAACGGTACACTCGGGAATACCAACCTGTAAAAACCCAACTGATCCGTAGTCTGGATGCCCTTCATTTCCTTCACCTGGCAGATGCAGGTGAGAGACTATTTCTCACTAAATTGGCATCACTTTGGTGCAAGCATATTGCTCCTATAAATCTGTTCTAATTTACATTTCTCTTTACATTTTACCTCTGATCTCTCTCCAAGACCTCTGAGAATGATTCCATACAGCTGCTGATGCTGCACCTGACGACCGTTTCTATCACCATCTCCCTTGAGTTACCTTTTCTAGGTTCATGATTAGGAGGGCAGGAGGTGCATAGGTCAAAAAGATCACATTTAGAAGGAATAAAGACAGGAGAGGAGAATTGAAACTGAAAACCAGAAAGAAAAAAAAAAAAAAAACTGTCTGGTGAACGACAGCACTGAAAAGTCCCAGCGCTCAAAAAGCTGAGGACCGGCTGATGTTAAAGTTCTCAGAAGACACCCAGGTCGTGTTTTTCAGGTCTGAGCCAGAGCAGCGTTTCAAGTTGAAGAAAGCAGTCAAAGTTTACCGGAGCTGAGCCGAGGCAAACCGAACTGTTTTAAGTCCGTGTGTGTTTGTGTCAGTTTCTGTCTGCGTAGCAGTGCGTGCTATTTGTTGCGCAGCAACTCCAGCTGATCCTGGTACTCAGTGAACAGTCTCTGGAACCGAAGGTTTTCACCGATGACGGGTAAGACCTCCCGCAGCAGCTCACGCTTACGTAGACCCTAAAAACACACAAGACAAACAGTGAACGTGTGAGGATAAAGCGACTCATCTTTTCCTCTTTGTGTGCAAAAAGAAGCAAAAATATGGAAGAAATCAGAACTGTCATCTTGCAGAAGTGACATTGTTTACAGCGTGTGCGCAGTCGTTACAAAGTGTTCTTTAGTTCAGATAATTTTGGTTTATATCATCCAAGCATAATTACCAGTAATGTGTATCAGAGATTCTGGGAAATGAGTAAATGATCAAAACAAAGTAGCAATCTCAAATACTAAAAAAAATAAAAATACGAGCGGCTGCCAGTGTTACCCCTCAGCCTCCGAGCAGACACACCTATGGTACCAATTTCAAAATTCTACATTCGAAATCATTCACCACCTTGACAATGGGGTGGAGCAAGCTGCACAAACTGTCCAGGTGTAACACAGAGACACAGACATCCTAAGTAGTGCTAATTAGGACCAGACTAATAAAATATTAGATTGGCAAATTGAAGCAGACATTTCCTAGACGGTCGGTAACACACAGCAAGACATAATATTAATGAGGCAGTCCATCAAAAAAGTTCAAAAGACACCAACAGCACAGACACAGTGAAGCAATACAGTCTAATGAGAGACAGCAGATGCTGATCAGCTCCAGCTTCCACTGTCTGAACATCTGCTGATCACCTCACTACCGTATTTGTAGTATTTTCAGTTTGACTCCACTAATACCAATCAAATCTCTGAAATTGTTTCTCACAACCAAAGATAAAATATTAGGCTGTCAGAAACAGATCCTGGTGCAGTTTATAAGTGCAAACTTTCAACTAATCTGACATTTAGCCCACGTCCAAACTGCACCTCGGCTGACTTGTCTCAAACATCTAAATAAACCCTTTAAAGACAACTGAGCTGTTCTGTGCTTCTCTTACTATTTGAAACAAATACTTTAGTAAAAGCTGTGTTTCATGTCACATTTTGTAGTGACTATACTAATAAAAGCTGTTAATATTCAGTGGACTTTGGATCATGTTAAAAAACAAAATCAAAAGGAGGAGACTGATTTTTGTTGTCGTACCAGTGTGGTGGGCTCCCAGGATGTAGCCGCTGATTTGTGGACAGGACCCAGGAGCTCCTTGCAGAGTTCTCTGAGGCGATACTCTGAGCCTGGAAGGAAAAACAGAAAAATATATGAAATATAAGAGTTGTTTATATAAGGCTTGTGTACTACATATGACACTGTGCAAGCTAGCTTTTCTACAGTTGCCGCCTGTTCAATCAGACAATTGAGTCCAAATTTTCTGAAAGCACCTAGGTTGTTTTAGTTTCCACCATTTCTCATTTTCTATCAGAACACATCTGCAATACTCAAAACTGATGTTTGTCCCTTCAGCTGAAAGTTTGGTACCTTCATTGACGAGGAAACGGGCATAGATGAGCAGCCAGTAGCGATACTCCTGTGCTGACTGCAGAGTCAAAGCAGACGCCAGCTGATTCTCCAGGAAGGCCAGCGTCATGCTCTGCTGCAGGTGGTGAGGGGTGGAGGAGAGGCGGGAAGCCAGCCGACCGGCACTGCGGGGAGCACCGAGACTTTTTTATTGACTTTCTTTATTACATTTTATATTACTGAAGATGAGAAGTGCAGATTAATATTAAAGACATACTTGAGGTTGCGTCCCTGCATGACAGCCAGAGGCCCAGAGGACACCGGTGTATCGTGGCTAGGCAGGCAGCTCCTGAAGTCAGCACACTGAACCAGAGAGTCACTTTTATCTGCTATCAGAGTCCTGAGAGAGATGGTGTAATCACAGCTGTCAAATCCATTGGTTCATTATTCATCTGTGAGTACAGTGAGTACTTCCATAGTGTTTCTCACCATGTCTCCAGAGAGGAGCTGAAGCAGTACGACTTCCCGTTGGACAGTCCAATGACTGGAACTCCCTGCTGAGTCAGCAGAGACTGGGACACTGTAGTGTCAGCACCTGAAGACACAAACAAAGTAGTTTTCATGGAGAATAACACGGCTCGATTCACTTATTAATGATCACCTGAGTCATTATATAATCAAATCAAATCTGGCCTGGAGAGTGCAGTGAAGCAAGTTGGACATAACCACACGTTCTCTCTGTTAGCCGGCGCTACAAACCCTAAAAACCACAGTGAGAGATAACAGGTGGGTCTGCCTCTGTCCCACAGCTTCATGGTGGTCATGGGGTAATACTTTCAGCTTTTGGTGAAACGCTACTGATTTTATATTCTCAGTGTAAAATGGCCTACTAATGAACTCATTTTTAATTACTTTTGTTCCACTAGCTGCAAGGCCAGCAGTGTAAAACAGAATTGGCAGCAGATTAGAATCAAGCATAAAATTTGTTTTCCAAATTTCGTCAGTAAGGCACAGCTCAACAGACTGCACATTTAAAATAAATATCAATGAAAGTCTACATTCTAAACAAAACTCTGAATATGACTTCTCTGGAGCAGGTTATGTGTTCAGCATTAGTCAGTTTAGTGTTAGATAAGCAGCTTTAACTCTAAATATACCCATTAACACATTAGTCTCGCTACACAGTGCACCTCACTACATCTCTCTGCTGTTTTATCGGTCAAGCTTGTTTTGATGCGAGTAGATATCAGCTGTAGCGATGACTCACCAGACAAAACAGTCAGCAGAGACTCGTTCTTGACCAGAGCCTTCTGTTTCTGAACATCCCTGCAGAAATAAAAAATGAATTATTACAAAGAGCAAAGATTTTAGAATAAAGACAAATATTCTTTAAATACTACCAGCATAAATTAATGCACTTTCTAAATGTGTAGGCATCTCTGTAAAACTAGTTTTACCTCAGAGATCAAAGATAAAAAATGCAACAAAAGCTCCCGAGCAATTCAAATCAAACAGAGCAGCTGAACACTGACCACACGGACAAAGTCGCTCCAGCGGTCAGAACCATGACGTAGTGGGCAGAGCAGTGTAAGGCAGACGCAGGCGTGCCTAGCTGAATGGCAGGAAGGAGTCGCCGCCCACAGGAAGAGAAGACTGACAACATCCTGTCCTCACAGGCGACTGCAAGGATGTCACTGAGGGAGTGGAGGAGAATTAGGAAGACCAGATTTTGTGCTGTTAATTCATTTTTTTTCACATTTTCTGTCTTCGGGAGAGCCTGCTGATGTTTTCATTTCAATAACCATGTGGCCTAAATTAAAATCAGTAGCACTGTGTGGGAATATCCTCCCCTATTCAGTGATACCCCGAAGGCTTTCCCTCCTCCAACTGGGATTTTAGAGGATGACTGCACACATAAACAATATTCTGCATGTAATTTCGGCAATGAATCTGCATTACTTTACTTAAATGTCTATTTTAGCTTTAGTCCCTGACCTTTTACGTTCTGAAGCTACTAGTTTTTTTTTCCCCAAGTCACATGAAAAAGTGAAAGTAAATCAATTCAAGTATAAACAGAGATTCTGTCTGTATGAGAACTCAGCAGCGCCTCCTACCTGCTGCCTGCAGCAACGACCACAGAGCTGGGCAGGAGCGTGTTCCAGTCTCGTCCGTCTCTGGAGCATCGCAGCTGGCTGAGCTTCGAACCTGCAACCATGGACACCTCATTCTCCACCTCCAGGAACACTGAGGGCTCCATGCTCACCTGAATTGAATTTGAATTTAATCTTTATTTTGAACATGTTAAAAAAGTACAACAACATAGAAATCAAAAGAGAAACAAAGGAAAACAAGCGACCACAAATACAGAAACAAAACAACAACAACTTTCATGTTCAAAAACGAGCAGGAAGAAGCATAAGCTGCACAACAAACACTCTCGATAATGTATGGAACATCGCCTTCATCAATTACAAATCCACCAAAGCTGATGTTTCAAGACAAGGGAGAAGACGACACTGCTCAAACAGAAAAGGGAGAATTTCTAACTGAAGAAACTGAAACGATAAGTGTCCAAGGAGGAAGCCAGAGAAGGCTTTCTAAAGTGCTGATGGCTATTTATTAATAGATATAAACAAAACAAACAAACAGGCTTGAACTAAAATAAGAATTTCTACCTCTGAGATGTGGGCTTAAGAAAAAAAAAGGCTACAAAATGAGTAGCCACACAGTGGAAACACTAAAAAGAAGAAAAAGACAAAAAAAAGCAGGCAGAGAACAAGGACGACCTTAGCAAGAAGAACAAGAGAACAAACTTAGCAAAGAAATAAAAAGAAAGACCCAAAGCCAAACCGTACAGCTTGTGAGAGATCAGACGGGGGATGCAAACAGATATAATTCGAGGTGAAAAACTGTCAATTAAGGTGGTTATAAAAGTACAATACATCTTCCAGCTGGATAAACACACTAAACAGTCCAAACCAAAGAAATGACAGACGGTGTGTTACCTGCAGACTGAAGGCCTTCTGTGTACTTGGTGTTGGTAATTTGAGAACAGCGACAGGAGCTGGAGGAGCTACAACCCTGCTGGGCTCCCGTTCCGCGGGAGGAGTTGTCTGTTATGACGAGATAAGTAGAAAAGCACACTTGGTTAACCTATTTTAGCTGCACCCAAAGAGCTTAAAATAACAGATTTTCAGGCTTCATCCACATGTCCCTCTACCTGAGTGAAAGGTTGGGCCATGGAAGCAGCCATCTTGTCTTTCCTGGGCCGTCCCTTTTTCCTCTTCTCCAGCACCTCTCTTCCATCCAGCAGCAGCTCTGGTTTCCTCTTGCCAAATGTCAGGTTCTTGTTGATGGCAGCCATCTTATCCTCGCTGTCACTGCTGGTCTCTTCTTTGGTTTTTGCCTCCTTCTGGGCGGTGACGCCGTCTTTCGGCCTGTTGCTAGAACAGGACATCAGATATGTCTCTGTGTTCTGTTTTTGTGTTTGATGTTCTTCACTTGCACAGTTACTCACCTGTCTAACGGTGTGAGTCCAGCTGTGGACGAAATGGCGGCTGTCACGCCTGGTGTGGCCTTTGACCTCTCTGTAAACCTGGAGTCCAAAGCTTTCATTGGCTCAATCTTGGAGGCAGAGGTGAGCAGCAGACTGGATTTGACACTAGGACGAAGATAAGGAGAAAGACAAGTGAAGGCGGGAATGAGAAAACCAAGCGCCATGTAAACGACTGGGAAGAGGAAGTGGGAGGTTTGGGAATTTAAAGTATGAAAAAGACAACACAGAGAGGGTAAAACAGAAAACAACCGCAAAAATTCCCTATCTGTGATCTCCATACCCATCATTGTTGTCCTCCATTGGCTTAGCAGTGTTGTTGGGAGGAGGTGAGGTAAGCATGGGGTCGTGTGTGGGCTTAAGCCCCATAGAAGAGGCCTGTCCTGGGCTGGAGTCGGAGCTGAGCTGGGGGGTGAGCTGGCTGGACATGGATGAGCCCGAGGGCAGGATGGGAACACTGTTGAACAAAGCCGGAGAGAAATCCCTGCAGAGAGAAAAGGGCCTGTGATCTTCTACTCTTCATCTGGTTAACATTATTATTCCTTTTATACAACAATAACTAACTTTAACCATCACTTTTTCTACATTGCATTAGCTCTGTGGACCAGAATCATCTTCAGTTTGCACCACGTGGCTTCTATGTTGTTAAAACACGCAACAATAGCCCCCTGTTTCAACTGTTAATTAAATCTAGATCCGGTTCAGACTGAGAAGAGTCTTTGAACTTGCGTGGACTCAAAACCAAAAATTTGACACTTCAAGCTCTTCTCTTATTGTGTTGCTGTAGCTTTGATGGCACAGAAGAAACCTGTAATCAGTCCAGCCACTATCTTTGGAGTCCAAACATGATCTACCAGCTATTTTTGTGAGATCAGCCATCTTGTTCACCGGAGTGTGTTTCATGCTTTCCTACCCCGTGTCCAGCTGAGCAATGCAGAGCGGTGTGATTCTTCTTCTGCCATCTGCTGTTCTCGTCTCCACCTGCTTCTTCAAAAGATTCTGCCAGATGAGAGAATAAAGCATCCAAGAAATTTACGCTGCACAGATATAAAAAGGATGTTTTGACAGCTTTGGAAAATTAAAAGTTTAAAACATTAATATATATATAAAATACATAAGTATTAGTATATTTTAAACTGTGTTGGACTTTGATTTCTAATGTCTATTGTCTCTACTCTAACAGTTTTCCAAAAACCCAATGAAAATATAATTATCAGGTTTCTGATATGCTTCCAGGAAGCACCTCCCAGAACTATGTAAGCATTTTTTCCCTTAATTTCATTTATTATAGATGGCTGCTCCATCTACCTTCCTGATGTCCTCCAGAGACTCCCCGTTCATCACACTGTTGAGTTTGGGTGCTGAGGATTCAGGTGCAGCAGCACCTGGTCCTGAGTTGGCCTGGGCAGAGTTCTGCCGCTCCTGTTGGTATTTGAGTATCTCGGGGTTCTCGATGATGGTGGTGGAGAGCTGAGCCTCGGGGCTGGTTATAGCCAGACTCTTACCGTAGATGTTCTGATGGATACTGTTCTATTTGTCACAAGAAGGAAAAGAAAAGTTTTCTAGGAGGGAAGAAACCTTATTTAAGCAAGAACCACCAACAAAATTTAAAAAATCTGTTAAACTGCTGGAATATAAAGATGTCAACCAATAATTATACATAAAGCAGAGTTTGGGCCTCATGTGGTGCATTTTTCATTCACTGATTACTTTTCTCTACTTCTAAGAATGAAAAACAAGATGAGAAGGGACAACTTTGTTATGTGGTTTAAATAAAACTTTGTATTCGTTAGCTGGTTTAGAGTTTATTATTAGCTAAATAAATAAAAGATGAGGGGAAGACTTTGACTTTAAATATATCAGCAGTACATATTTTCAGCTCTACGTTTTCATTGCTGCACTCTATTAGAGTAGATCTGTATGAGGCACAGTTCAAATAATCTTTATTTATCTTACTGGGCTCCTAAATTACCCCCCACAAGTAAAGAAAGACAGTACAGAAGCTGCTCAGATGGTCAACACTCCTGGGCACTTACTCAGGCTCCAAAATAATGTTTAAATTGGACCTCGTTTTTTCCAGCTCCATATATTTATTGTTATAGTCTACTGGAATAGCTCTGCATAATCTGCACTTAAAATAAACCTTACTAATCTTACACAGGGCCTTGGTCTCTATCCCTCAGTTCATCTTCCTTTTGAAACAAGCCGTCTTAGCTCCTTATTCTCTAAACCTACTTTCTCCTGATTGGCTGCAACTCACAACCAAAATTAAACAGTAAGTGGGGCAGATTTCTCCGCACACCGGCAGAGCCATGTGCCTGAGATGACCACATTTGGGATATCCCCCATATGTCATAAAACACAGCCAAGAGCAGAAAACACCATCTGAAACCAAGCATTCAAAGCTTGAGACTCGACCTACATGATATCCTTGTACACAAGCTGACCTCATTATTTGAAACTCTAGCTATGTTTAACATGAGCATCTACCATTGTAGTAGAATATATATGACACAGGTCTTAAGTGTACACTTAAGACCACACAGGACTAGTTGTAAACATACAGTCACAATTTCAGTGATGCCTTGATGCTTCTTACCTTCTCCTCTTCATTCAGCGGGTCTCCCAGTTCATCCAGGGAGAAGTCCAAATAGGCGACTGTGCCATCCATCGAACAAACCAACATCCCCAGACCCGTCAATGTCCTGATACACACATACATATCAAACTCAGACATTTATCACCACCAGTAATGTTTAATAAGCCTACACAAAACACCTGTATGCAAACAGAGAAGGGTGCAGGTAAAAAAGCATCCACACACTGAGACATTAAAAATGATATCTGAAGTCAGATATCTGATGTCAGGGCGGTGGACTTAGAATAAGAGAGACTACAGAATGTGACAGCCCACAATGTCTTCACTCACCAGGAAATGTCCATAATGGATTTATCGAAAAGATCATGGATGACCACAAGAGGGCGCTTCAGTGAGGTGAGCTGGAGCAGAGAGAGCAAGAGAGACTTTATTTTTTTATATCCTCCCAAACAGCTACTAAAACTGGGTTTGGCGATTCCTGGTGAGAAACCACTGAACTGGAAAAACTGCCCTCACTTGGTTATTAATGTACATGTCATCACATCAATAAGCCATGAAAACTGCAGCTTGACTAAGGAATGAGAGTCCTAACTTTTATGTATTACTATCATTATTTTAAACTTTAAAACTGTGGGTTTTTTACTGACCCAGACAGAGAGCGATCGGTCTTTGCTGCCGACAGCGCAGCAGCAGTACGGACAGCTGGGCTTCGGAGAGCTGCCATTCTTCTGCTTCTTCTTGAAAATCTTTGGGTTGAATTTCTGTAGGAACAGAAACCAGACGCATCAATAAGTAGCTTTTCGTTTGTTTAAATATAGATTTACTGGCTGAACATGTTGATAGCACATCCTCACCACCACAGTGACAGCTTTACGGTGGCCCACAAAGTCCATATTAGTCTTCCAGCCATCTCTCTCCACAATCTGAGCGGTGGGGCCGGAGTTGTTCATTGCATGAGCCGACACAAGATACTGACCGTCTGGAGACCAGGACAGACGCAGGACGTGGGTCGTCCCACCGCACTGAGAGTGAGACAGAAAGAGAAAAATCCCTTAAACTGTGATGACAAAATAAAATCAAAACCTAAATCAATTAGTGGAAACACACAATGTATCCAGTGGGTTCCAATCAAAGCGAGAGTGAGTGTTTCTGTACCTCACTGAAAGGTTTGGTGATGTTTGCATCCATCTGCCAGTCCACCGTCCGCCACACTTTCAGACTGTGGTCGTCAGCCTGGGAGGCGATGTATTTCCCCACTGGATCCCATGTGAGGCCTTTCACCAGGCCAGTGTGTCCTCGCAGAGTAGTGATCATCTCTGAATAGATCATTAAGACAGTTGCAGAGTGTGCAGAAAGTGTTTTTCCCTCTCAGTTAAAAACAAAGGACTTTTGTAAATATGAGCATTTTCTATTTTCCAGAGGCTGAGCTGTGGTTAAACTTTACCTGGAAATTTGCGAGCGTTCCAGATCACAATGGTGTTATCCACACTGCAGGAGGCCAGCCACACGTCATGAGGAGACCACGCCACGTCCATCACATCTGCAAACACAGCACAATGATAACAAATGATGACAATGGTGTGACACTTTTCTTTTTTTGACATTAATATGTCAAAGGGGATTTAAAGAAAGAAATTTACCAAGTAATGTACTGAATGTTGAAAGGAAAAAAATCTGGCTATTATCTGAAATATTTTTCCACTTTATTTTTGTTTTTATTATTTATTCATCGTCTTGTTTCCGGAAATTCTTTTGTTTTTAAACATTTAACCACACAGCTGTTAGACCTCGAGAACACACACAATGAACAGAGGCTCTTTAACTAGCCAGGTTGGTGGATGTGTGCAGACATAGCTGGACTGGCCATCGGGCATACCGGGCATTTGCCCGGTGGGCCGATGGTAATCTTTCGTTTTAAACGGGCCGACGTTTTGTTGTTGTTGTCTTTTTTTCCGTAACCGTGTAAACAGGGAAAGGTGGCGGATTGGACAGATGCTGGCAGACGTGTAAAAATAACTCAATTGTTTGGTAGTAGCTATGGTGGAGCTTTCAAAGATTCAGTAAAATTAGCAAGTGGTGGAGGCCAGCAGGTGGATGGGGGAAAGGGGAGGTGGAGAGACCCAAGGCGGCCGCCGGTCCAACTGTCAGGTGAAATGAGCTTCAGGTAAGAAGTTATGACCTGCAGTCTATCTGGGTCAGATATAAACCAAGTTTAGGTGGAGTTTATTTTCGTTGTGCTAACTTTTTACAGTCAGTTACAATAACTCGTGCTGCGTACTAGCTAGCATGACGGAGTTTCTATACAGTTGGGTGGGTGCTATGATGTTACTGGTGAACTTTATGTTATTCATATGGTTAGTAGAGTTGCCTACCGTCCTGTAAAAAACGGAATTCTCTGGTATTCAGAGTTAATATTATGCGTTTCGTATTGCGCTGAAAATAAATGCGATTTGTCCCGTACTTCAGCTACAATGAAAAAACAAAAAAAAGACAAAAAGCTGGAGTTATTCTGTGTCTTTATGCTGTCAGCTGCCTCTTCTCTCACTCTCCCCCCTCCCTCTCCTGCTACTACTTCAATCATGAAACTGATCAATGATCAGCTGATCGGGGTTTCTGCCGTCTCTCTTGGTTGTTTATCTCCCACTTTGCACCAGAAAGAGGAAACTAGCGGAGGTCGCGTTAAACAGCAGAAGCGCCTTTAAACTTGATCAGCTGTTGTTAGAATTTATTTAATATTACTTTCTAGTATCAGCTGATATTTGCTGGAGCCACAGCTGTAAAGCTGCTGGTCATGATGTCGGTTTGGTTATCTGGTGAGAGGGAAACATGAAAATGAAACCAGGAGATGTCCTTACTGAATCATCAGAGCTGAACAGGTGATGGAGAAACAGGTTTACCTTTTAGGTGACAGGAATGAGTTGAAGGGAAGCTATGAACTGTTTCTGAGAGACAACTTACACCAGGATCCTTTTCTATGTAGCTGACAGCTGGTAACTGTGCAGGGGCAGGTTTAGCAATGTTTTGCCAGGGGGGCACAAAGAAATACTTTTCTTTCTTATTCTCATTTAAAATTTCTAGCTTTTAACAAATAATTATCCAAATCTTACAACCAAAGTTTTCATCTGATGTCAAATTTATAGAAATCCATTATTGTACGTAGTAAGTTTTTTTTCAGGGTCCCAACATAATTTCTTCAGAAGAAAGTACTGTACATGATGCCAGTATTTTCCCACATTTTCTAGATACTGTACTAGTACTTTGTGTAAAATGCCATCAAAAAGTCAGTTAAGTTTTATTCTTTCTCACCTGTCTTTCTGTCTCCTTTCACTTTTAAAAGGTTGCCATGTTAGAAAAAATATTTTGCCCTGCCATGCTATTTATTGATGTGGTAAATAAATAGTTTATGAAAATATCACTAAATCTGTCATTTATTATTTTTAATATTCAGTAATGGTCATGTCTTACGTCTAGTCTTCTCTGTCTTAATTTCAGGTTTCCACCATATGTTGTAGATAGTTCAGGAAGTTAACTCAACCAAGCAGTCTTTGGGTTTCGGCTAAGTACTGTTTAGAATACCAGAATAGGGAGGATGGTGTAGGTTTAAGTTTATTAGATTGATACATATGTACCAACAAGACAGTGTACATCACTGTCACAACGACATTTGTTTTCATTCAAAGGCTTTATGGTTTTTCCTATAATACCTGGTGGGCCGGTTTCTAGTCAAAATGCCCGGGCCGATTTTTTGTCCCAGTCCAGCCCTGTGTGCAGATGTTCAATATCTGTGAACATCTGCAACTTCTCTGTGCATTTTCTGAGTCTATTACCTCCAGTGTGGTTCCTCAGGATTGTGACACACCTCCACTGCTCCACATTGGCCAACTTGCTGCTTGACCCAAACACTGTGCTGGGACCGATGAACCTACAGGGAAAAGAAACACACAGACAGACAAGATTAAAAAGCAGCAAATGTGAATGCTGACATAATTATCAACAATGGAGATTCACCAGAAAACATCAGTGAGAGGAAGTTAGCTTGAACTAGCAGGAAAAGGATAGCATGCATCCAGTCAGTTCATACACAGAGAAAGAACTGGGACATACTTTAAAGTATCAAAGAATAATAAATATAGACTTTGTTACAAAAAATACAAATTTCCAGAGAAGAGCTACCAGCTGCAGTATAGGATGTCGAAGTCTGTCCAAAAACCCCCTCTGGCAGTCTTAGTTACACTCTGGTGTTATTTTTATTCATGCAGCAAAATAAATACATAAAAGCTAAAATTAGGTCCAAAATATATTTAGATATATTTATGTGACCGTTCTGCCCTCGGTGGCCCACCCAAGTAAAGTATATGTGTAGGAAACAGTGTGTCAAGATCCAAAAGTGGCCAGTGGCATGCCTCTCCTGGAGCTGTGGAATACGCCGATTATAGCTGTATAGCATCCATCAGCAGCAGCACATCATCCAACAGTAGCTGACAGCTGTAGAATCTGCATATGCCCCAACTCCAGCAGTAGCATACCACTGGCAATTTTTGGATCATGGTGCTGCAGAATTATTAAGGTTACAAAAATAGTAGATTTTTGTTTTTTTGGCTTAATTAAACAGCCCTAGTTTATAACAGTGACTCATATGATTGACCATTGAACAGCATGCTGGTGTTACTAGAACAAAAAAATAGAATAGGATAAATAAATAATATTGATGCAAGTTTATTAAAGTGTAAATCGTTGTAATCTAATGCACTGTGGAAAGCCGTAAAATTGCCGCCTATCTCACACACACACACACACACACACACACACACACACACACACACACACACACACACACACAGTCTAGTGTGCGTTCACGCTGACACAAAAAGTTTCCCATTCTGCTTTCAGCTCAGTCACCATGGAAACGTCCTTGTTTGGCCGTCTTTCCAGACGTTTCTCGACAGATAGTGAATGCTGTTTATCATATTGAGCGGGTGACTGTGTGTATACATACGCAGCTCTCTTCCACACCATGACCAGCTTGTCGTCTCCTCCAGAGGCCAGACACTGCCCGTTGTTGGACCAGCGCACACAGTTCACACAGGCTGCAGAGACACACACAAACACTTCTGCTCACTGAGGCTATAAATACAGTTTGTATGGATTTGTGCTGAGGAGGCTGTTAGGGTGGACAATAACAGCACCTGCAGATCAAGATGCTCTCATTATTAAATATGGCTGCTTGTTATTAGGTCACTGAACACAGCAGCAGTTTATGTCAGTGGCAGTTCATGGAAGGCGAAGTGATTTTAATTTCCTGCCGCTGTTATCTCCATCCATCCAAGGTCAATGTTTCCAAACGTTTTAGTCAGATGGGTTTATAGTTATAGATTTCCTTTCTTTCTTTTTTCATAGTGTAAAAGGTCTACTTTTTTTTTTTTAAATAGTTACTTTTCCTTAGTTCTTTTTTATTCAAATCACATTCTGAATACATCTTGAACTCTTTCAGACTTATCTTATTGTATTTAACTAACATTTTTACTCACTGACCGCCTTGTTGTGTTATATTCAGCTTTATACATCAGATTTGTTGTATTTGATTTACATTTTTACTTAATGAGCATTTTTATTTTTTACTCTATTTCATCAATTTAAATGACCTCTTGTCAAGGAAATGATAACAACTGTGCATGTTGGTATTGCAGTACAGTCTACATGCATCAGATGTTTATCTGAGCAGCTTTCAATAACTGTTAAAAAACTAATTAATTAAAGAAAATTACATATACACACAGTGTGGAGCTATCATTAGAGACCATAAGTAACCCTTAAGTTTAATTAAGGGGGAAAAATGACCTAGAGAACAAATACACTCATTAACCAACCATATATACAGACTTTGATTACCTAAGTGATTGTCCATCTGGCAAAGCATTTTGGAAATATTCTCGTTCTTCTCATCCTCCTCTCTGAGGACCGGCGCCATGTTCCAGATCATCACCTTCCCCGAATCCTCCCCTGGAAACAATCCAAGTATTTTAAACATGAAACACCTTCACAAGGAACAACAGGGAGAATTGTTTTAAGCTGGAAAGTAAACCTGAACCCAGCTGTAGCTTTCCATCAGTTAGAATACTAAGCTGTTGTTTAAAAATGATCCTAAAGGGAGAAACTTTCATTTTAGCAGTTGTTGGTTTTACCTTGGCCACCAGTTGCAAATTTTGTTCCATCGGGGTGGATGTCAACTGAAAATATGGGTTTACCTGAGAAACACAAAAATCAACATTTAATATCAGTCATCTCAATTTTAATAGATCTAAAGAACACAAAAACTGCAGACTGATATTGTACACAGGTAACCTAGAGATACTGAGAAAACTGGAGGAAATAAAGGAGTAACTAAAAGGAAAGACACCAGAGTGCATCTGGAAAGTTTACAAAACCTTTTAAGTTTTCCACATTTTGCTGATTCAAACTCATAATTTTTACACCAATCCATACAGCACACACATGTCCCACAGTCACAAGCCAAAACAGGTTTTCTAGTGTGTTAAATGACAGCACTGACATTTTCCATTGACAAGGGTATTCAGAGCGTTTGCTCAGTACATGGCTAAAGCACATCTGATAACAACGACTTCCTGGAAATACTTTCTTGGCGATATGCTTTGGGTTGACATCTGAAGCTTAACACTGCTACACTCTCTCCTAAATTGTCTCACTAATATGCCCACAGCATGATGCTGCACCACACCATGTTGTAGTGATGGCACTAATGAGATGACTTCTGATTACCTTTAAAAACTAATGGCGTCTATGGTTGCTGGTTAATTTGACACTTCACCACAGAGGCCTGATTAGTAAAGTGCTGCACCAAATTTACACCCTGCAAGCTCTACAAAGGAAATCTAGATCCTAATTGATTGTGACAGCTGGGCTCTTGAATATCTGGTCTGACAAAGGCCTTTCATCCTCAGTTACTCAGTTTGGTTGGGTAGGCAGCTCTAAGAAGACTGCTGATCACGGCAAACTTCTTATATTTTAAGTTATGGAGGCTAGGGCTGGGCCATATCATACCGTTCACGGTAATACCGGTATAATGTTCGGCAACGATAAGAAAATGAAATATCGCGATAGAATATGGGTAAAACGTGCATGCACAGTGCCTTTGTTTACATATGCACATGGCGGAAAAAGCATGGCGGCGACGGAGAATGAGAAGGGCAAAAGCGGATCATTGAATGAAAAAGATGAACCAGTATTGGTTTGTAAAAATGCTGCAACTTCAGTGGTGTGGAACTGGTTTAGCTTTCGTCCGTCAGATACAAAACAAAGCACTATTTTTGGTAGAGCATGCTAGCAGGCCGTCGTTATTACTGTGTTTTTTGGAAAAATCTACAGTGCCCCTTATAATCCCGTGTGCCTTATGTATGAATTCTGGTTGTGTTTACTGGCCTCGAAATGATTGTATGTGGTACACAGCGCTCAAAATCTGTCAAATGTTTTAGTACAACTTTGCTAAGCTACGAAGCCGCACCGCTTGATGGATTGTCGGAGCATTACGGCTATCGTAGGCAGGAGCCTCGCAGAGTGATACGTACTGTGCTTCAACATAATATTACCGTATTGTGTGTGTATAACCTCTTTTTAAGTTTTGTAGATATTCTACATGGTTATGTTGAGGATATGTCGGCCAATTTCCACTGGAAATGCCTTTTGGTTAAACTGTCAGCAAGGAATTTGCATTTGCACTGTTAAATTTTTATATAATTTTAATGCACATAAAAAACAGCTGCTTGTTTAAGTGAAAATACATTGATGGTTTTTTGCATCATTGAATCTTATTTTGCTTTGTTGCTGCAAAGTATTGTGCACAGATCCGCCTGAAATGCAAAAAAGCATGTAAATGAAAACTTTCCAAGCACACTGCATGTTGAACACATTTCAACATAACACAGGAATGGCATTGACCTCAGCTGTTTGTTTTTTACCAGGCTTTGTTTAGTCTGCCTTATGGAAAGTTACTCAACTGTTCTGTGATTTTCCACAGGTATGTTAGAACATGCCCACACCCAAGACTGTATTTCAGTGTCTTGTCAGGTTTACAATCGACATGCACTCGAGGATTTTCCTGAAAGGAAACCTTTCTGGTAAATCCTCCAAAATCTCTTTGGTAGTATAACCTAATTCCCTAACTCTTCCTTTAAGCCATGGAGATACATTACTAGGGATGGGTACCGGTATCCGGTGCCATGATGGCACCGGTTCTGACATAAACGGTAGTAACCAGACCGAAAAGCAGCGCACATTTCGGTGCTTTATTTTCCTGAGCTGTGATACACTTTAGATTCTAGCCAATCATTTTACATTTCCGAGGATAGTAGGCGGGGCCAGGTACGTACATTCTTTTAGAGCAGAGCTACAGATTAAAAATGACCAAGGCAAAGC